GGTGTGAGTACTCCATCGCCGGAGCGATCTGTGAGCCATCTTGTAGCTTCACGCAATTTTCCTTGTAATACCAATCTTGTGAAGATTCTTATTTTCTGGTCTTCTTCTTGGTGTTCTTGTGATGTTTTCATTTGCCGATCACATCTCTCAGCTTCACGTATTAATTCATCAAATTGATCATTATCCCACATTTCCATTCTTTTCTTCATCAAACGTCTTATGTCAGACCCATTTTTTTTCCATTTTATCTTTTTGAAGAATGGTAGCACATAAGAAAAATATTCTTTCGGTTGAATTTATACCATTAGGGACTGCTTGGATCTCTTTGGCTAGAACATCTACAAATTGCCTTCCAATTGAACCTTGTGGTATTGTATATTGTCTTCCTTTTAATTTCATTGCACAAAGCCACCGTTTGTGCCATTCATTGTTTTCTTGAGAACTTACAGAGTTAAGAAGTGGAACTCCGAATCCTCTGGTAAATAACTTGTTCATAAAATTGTCTTTAATCATATCATCTTGATTGACATCGTCTGCTGTTACAAGAAATTGAACACCTCTGTGGTCATAGCATTCATTGTATACAGCTTTATTTGTATTACAGTAGAGTCCCGCAAACTCGGCACTCGATAACCCGGCAGTCTGGATAACTCGGCCATCACCTGGCTCAGAAAATTAGTGATATTTTGAATCCGAGTCAAACATGGACTCAAGCCAGCTCAAGTAAAATCATTCACAACTCGTACCAAGGATTCTTTGTACTATATCTGATGACTTAATACTGACTTGTAATAAAAAAAAGAGGTTAAAAAGCTTAAAAATTGTATTGTCCTTATTTTTAACCCTAGTTCCCGATAACCTGGCATTTCACAAACTCGGCACCCTTCCAGTCCACATTACGCCGAGTTTGCGGGACTCTACTGTATCGGAAATTGGAGTTGGTTTGGCTTTAGTTTTTACTTTTGACGTCCTAAATTTCACTTCTCTGGAAATGCTTTTAGAAATTTTACTATTAGTAATCATCTCATCACATATTTTATCTTTTCGATTAATTTGGCTGACTATACTTTCATTTGGAATTAAAAGTTCAAAATGTCCACAATCCAAACGGCCGGTTAAAAGTAGGTCCGCTGTAATTTTATGAGAAGATCTTGATATTAATGTTGGTTTATTTTCCAAATGGATGATTCTAGTTTTAAAATGTTTAGCTTGATAAAAGATGTTAATGTTGATTTTAAACAAGTCAGATATAACCATACATTCAACACTAGTTCCATAAGTACCATCTTTTTTCATTTCCTGGCAGTATTTTTCTTTATCAATCTCAGTTTGGTCATCATACAGGATAAAACGTTCATATTCTTTCCAGTTTGTATACATATGTTCGACAGTATTTAACCTAAGTTTTTTAAACTGATTTTGAGATTGAAATAAGAATATACTCAAAGATCTAAAAAGACAATTGCCGTCACCTAGTACATTTTGTCTTTTAAATGTTAAAGTCATTTTACTTCATTGGTCCAATAAAAAAAATTTATATTAAAATAGTTCAATTCCCAAAATTGTGGAATAGATGTGAACAAAAAGATTGGTAATGTTTACATAACAAAAAAATTTGAAATCAGTATTATAAACAAATAAAATGAATATTTGAGGTTAGATGATTTTAAGTTGTGAGAGTTATTAATGATATAGAGGTATAATGTATAAAATACTTATTTGTAGAAAACCTGTCTTCTTAAAGATCTTTTTGAAACACTGTTTGAAAGCTAATTTAAAAATTATTCACTAATAATCACTGAAAATTGAAGAGCAAAATTGTTATCAACTTTATAAGTTCAACATCAGCTATCCATCTCTGATTTTGAAAATAAATCATATTACACTGATGAAATCACGGAAGTGTTTAACTACAAAAGATCCACCAATACGATTTTAATACTATTTAAAGGTTCTTCCAAAGGAAGAGATACCATATAACATACTAATAATAACTCTGATGACGTACGGTATGGGGAATATTTTATTCATTGAATGATCAACCAAATTTGGCAACTAACGCAATTAATATCATTATTGTTTTTACACTTATTACTCTTTAAACAATGCTAAATGCTCAAAATACGGTATGTATATTTCACACAGTTAGATGAATTAACGCAAGTCTTGAAAGTAACCGTCGATTTCGACGGGTTTCACCTAGTCTAATATATAAAATTCTCGTGTCACAGTGTTTGTCTGCAAACTCCTCCGGAACGACTTCACCGATCGTTATGAAATTTGGTGTGTAAATTCTGTAGGTATGCGAATCGGACGTAAACTATTTCCCGTTTCGAAATTCTTAAAAGGGCTCCGCCCCAGTGGCTCTGGAGTTTCCCATGTTAACCTTATGAGAAATGGAATTAATGAATCTTAACAGCTGTTTCAATTAAACAAGTTGGTTCTGTTCTATGATGTTCAATAGCATTAAAGTGACAAGGATTACCAATAGGGTGCAGCACTATTATTTCTTTTACATTTATGACAACAGCTAATTTGCAACCAAAAGGTGAGTGAGCGTAGCGAACGAACTTGAACCTGGAGGCGAGTGAGCGTAGCGAACGAGCTAACCTGAAGGCAAGTGAGCACAGCGAACGAGCTCCAACCTAAAGGTGAGTGAGCGTAGCGAACGAGCTCCAACCCAAAGGTGAGTGAGCGTAGCGAACGAACTTCAACCATGACGTGATTGAGCGATGCGAACGAGATCATCTTGAAAATTAAACTTAACGGTACTTTCTTTCCATCGGTCTGTCTTAGGGGAAACCTATAACTTAGGCGATACGAAGTTCGCCGGGTCAGCTAGTATATATATATAATACGTGAATCAGTTTTTTGTGAACACTACTCTTCCCTTATTTGTGGACCAATTGCAAAGTTTGAGGTGTCAAAAGATTCATCTCAATTTATATTTTTGCAATAAGGTTTTGAATTTTTTTTTATCTTACCCTTAAGGGCGCAAGCCACACTCAAAGGTTGACTTTTCCCTATAATAATTACACAGAACAAATTTATAAACAAAAAACAGCTGTTAATAAAAAGAAACTCAGTACCGGTAGCTTTTTTGGGAGCAAATATTGATGTTTGTAATATTCAGGAGGTTATAGATCAATGTAAACAGTTAATCAGCTTTGTTGGAAGAACAGAACATGCTTCGAGTTCATAGAAGAAATATTGGTTTGTTTGACATCAATAGTGGACGGACACCTGCCTGAAGTACGTGATTCAGCCAGTATACTGGCTGTCTAATACAGATTTAGTGGGGTACGCGCCCTACTGGGTTTACAGTGGTGGTAGGGTAAGTGGTGACGATCTAATCATGAGTATTACATTTCAGGATTATTTGGCCCAGTGCAACTATTAGTTATTATTAGTTCACAGCAACTGTAAGCCAAAAAAGCAAGAAGTAAGATAATTTAATGTAGTAAAACCTTCTTGTCTGACTTTAAATTAAGTCCTATGAGCGATATTTCAACATTCGCTCCCGATGCTCAGTTAGCCTACTTCACTGAGGTAGGCATCATTATCATTCTTAGGAAAAACGAATCAATTGGGAAACGATCGGACCTCATCTCGCTTTAAAAATGCAACCCAAGTAACAAGTACCGTAAGAAAGTTTTAAACAAAAAAACAAGCTCTTTTTAGCGAATTTCCCATATAGGGAATAAGCTATTACCGTAGTACTCATGGTAAGACCTGGACGCGGGACCGATTTACTTTTTCATTTTGAGGTCCCTAGAGGCCAAAAACACCATCCGTTCAAATTCATATATATATATATATTTATATATGTGTCCGTTAGCGCGATAACTCGAGCAAAAATGATACGATTTTGATGAAATTTGGTACAAACGTGTAAACCTACGTTTATTCGAACGAGTTCGCGATCCAGCATAATCGGACCATGGGAACAGGGGTTTATGGGGGGTTTTATGGGGTAAAAATGTGTTTTTCCCAATTTTTACCCTAAAAACAAAAAATTTTGCAATTTATTTCTAAACCGTTTTGTAGAGCTTAAAAAAAGAAATAATTTAGTATATTGAAGCACTGTTGTATGCCTAACGGTCACGGAGAAAATTCAAAAATAGTTTAATTTAAAATTCCCATGTTATTCTTATGGAGAAAATAAAAATTGTTGTAGTTTACTTGTTTATGGATGTATATTGATAAAATTTGGCAAATTTATTTATTTCATCCCATACTATTCACGTATGGTCAAAAAACACTTTTTACCTTCCCCGTAGCAGCAAACCTAAGCACTTGTTAAATTTAATGTTATTTAAATAGGGAATAAATAATATGTCTTATTTACGAAAATATTTGAGTAAAAATGTAATCAGACAAGTTGAAATTCGCTTAGTCTGCAGGTTTGCTGTGGCGGGGGTATTTTGGTATTTCTATTCAGTTAATATGAATTGTTTCACATTTATCTACGAGTTTAATCGTTATTTGGAATTTATTGTGAATAAGACTCAAGATGGGTTTAGCTATGAAACAATAAATCAATTGTATATTTAACTTAAGGAAAAAAGTATTAACAATGTCTATTTAATGGTAATATTTGTTTTACTTAATAAAAAAAAGATCTCTAGAAGGTATATAACTACTTTAGACCTAAAACTACGGTGAACTAATTAAACAGTAAAGGGAAAGGGGTATGAGTAAGACAAGAAAAACATTGAAACATGCTATATTTTTTACTGACATTGCTTAAATTAAGAATAAATCAAACAAAATTACACTTACACATAATTACAACTTGTAATTGTTCATAATTTTTTATTAATTATTACTAAAATGTATCCTGACAATATCTTTTACAATACTAACTGACAATATTTTCTTTCACAAAACTGCTATTAAATAACTGTCCGTAGTGTCCGTAACAGTAGGCCTATACACATATTTTACTTACAATACTAACAGTTTACAGTTTACGAACAACTTAAATAAGTGATTCACATTTAATAAACCTTTATTATTTGAAATAAAAATACTTAATGTTAATGAAACTTGTTAAATGACTTTTCAAAACTTATTTTACTTATTATCTTTACAACTGATCTGAAATCATAATTGTGTTGAACCTGCTATCTCACTAACTACTTATTCTAACATTAAAATGTTCATGTGTCATAAACATACATATCCTTTCAATCAAATAAACCTTAATCAAACCAACAATTTCATTTTAGCTGGCTTAGCTAAAATAATAATACTTATACTTCGATACAAAGAATGATCATCCAGCTCACCATTTCATCTGAAACATAAGTTATACACTCAGAACTCTTGTTACCATAATAAACGGGTCTAAAGATAAGCTGTTTTGTCTAAGTTTGGATTAAGTAGAAGAATAGTGGTGATAGTGAACCGTTGGTTTACGTTTGGTACTGTACGCGTGGTGTTGATGGGGTAGCGGATATTTATCCCCCTGGAATTTTTACCCCCTGGGCGAACGTGACGTCACAAACCAGGGGGTAAGATTCCGGCCGCGAACTTTTGTTATTAACGTTTTATTATTAAGTAGCATATCTTAATTTATTTGTAGCCTATCTTTAACTAATTGAACAGGTTTTTAATTTTAATTTTGAGATTCGAGTATCATGATTCGATCTTTGAAGCCAACTGTTGGTTAATATGAGGTATAAACAAACATCAGAATGGTAATTGATTCGAAGATTACTTTAAAGATTTATTATACAACCGTGGTAAAACAATGTTTTTCGTTTGTATTTTAACAATAACAAAATATGCCTTATTGTTTCTTTATGAAGAAATGTTCACCCAATTATCAAAAATGAGCTACTCAGTTTATTTTACATACTTATTAACCAACAGTTGGCCCCAAACGCAAATCCTAAACATTAAAATTAAACAGCGAATTCTGTTTACTTAGTTGAGATTACAAAATAAATAAATAACGATAGTTACTTTAAAATAAAATTTTTTACAATTAAATAAAAACAGAAATAGGAAAATAAATCATTCTTAGCCTAATAATTTATATATCCGGCCAGGGGATAAAATTCAGGGGGCTAAAAATCCGGAGGTAAAATTCCAGGGGTTAAAAAAAACCGGTTTTTATTGATAATCTAATTAATTACACTCTGTCTATTTTCATTAGACTTCCAAATCCGCGGGGGTTAAATTCTGCCCGCGAACAAACTTTTGAGCACTAAGGTTACTAAGTCATAGTCTCGTCAGCTTTGCCCAGGTGGTAAAATTCCAGGGGGATAAAATTCCAGCGACCCGTATTGATGGCTTGATTTAGAGCCTTAAAGAGATTTTTTGTCGGTTTGTGTGGGGAAGTAATGAACATTGGGAATTCATTCAGTGAAGGATTTCAGTTTGGTCATAAGATGGAGGCAATTATCTGGAGTGTCGGGAAGGTATGGGGGTTTAGTGAGTGGGAGAAAATTTCGCGCCGTTCCGGCCAAACCTCGCATGCGGGGTTGGTTCGGCAGATTGGCCACAACCTAAACCCCAACTCTCACTTGTTAGCTGCGGAGAGCTACCTTCTGCCACTGGGTGTTGGTCCACCTACAGAACCAAGTGAGGGGGGCCCTAGACTAAGGTGTAATGCGATCCGTGCCAAGAGTCTTGTGGCACTGGGGGCCTAATATTCAGTGTCTTAACGGAGCCTTCTGGGAACCAGGGGTAACCCAGTCGTACGCACCCCTTACCTCTCTAATCGGGTCACTGGGGAGGTGGACTTAAATACCCGGTATTCGTGAGAACAATGTAGACAATCTGACCCAAATGGAGGAGGAAGGTCTACTGAAATCTGACGACGACAAGCTCGCAGAAACCGGAAAGGAACGAAAAACGACTTTCCAGGGGCGAGTTGCAAAGATGGAGGATAGCGGATGCTTAAGCCAAAGGCGAAAAGGTGCTATCCAGAAGTGAGAGGAGGCTGGTGTGGGCTGCCAAGCACCCTAACTCTGCTGCCTGCAAAGCCAGTTCCTCCAGGAACTAGGATGCTGGGAAAAAGCAGAGCAAGGGTGGTACCCCCAAAGCTGACTCTAATGAAGCCTCCCGGAAGAAAGGTGGAGGCTGTGCTGATGCAGCCACAAAGGATTGGCTGGTCAAGCAAGTTCAGGAGCTGAGTCCTTTCAGGAAAATCTCGCTTCGGCTTGCCCCAGCCAGAGACCTTGTGAAAGCTGTGAAGGTATATTTATGTGCCCAGCCCTACAAGGTCTGCGTATGAGATCCCTCGTACGAAAAACGACTTTCCAGGGGTGAGTTGCAAAGACGGAGGATAGCGGATGCTTTAGCCAAAGGCGAAAAGGTGCTATCCAGAAGTGAGCTAAAAAATTTAAGTTTAGGGAAATAAATGAAAAAGAAACCGATAAAATAATAAGCAATCTCAAAAATAGTTTTAGCACAGGGTATGATGAAGTTCCTGGACCAATAATTAAAAAAGCAAAAGAAGTATTGATTAAACCCATTACATTTTTGATCAATTCATCATTGATAACTGGAATTTTTCCACAAATATTGAAAATAACGAAAATTAAACCAATTTTTATAAAAGGGAAGTCATCAGAAGTTGATAATTTTAGACCAATTGCTCTAATCACTATATTTTCAAAAATTTTTGAAAGAGTTGTTGCGAACCAGCTGATTGAGTACCTTGAAACTAACAAGTTGTTTGATTGTTGCCAGCATGGTTATCGTAAAGGAAGGTCAGTGGTAACTGCAGCAACAGAGTTTATTGAATCTGTGATCGACTCAGTTGATAAAGGCAAGAAAGTTGTAGGCATATTTATGGACTTGAGTAAAGCCTTTGATAGCATTAATCATGGGACTTTATTACATAAATTGAAATTGTTTGGGATTGAAGGGAAAGAATATAATTGGCTTAGTACATATTTATGTAACCGACAACAGTTTGTAGAAATTTTAAATTTAAATAACAATAGATTGCTCAAATACAAATCCACTCTTAAACAAGTAATAAGAGGTGTTCCTCAAGGGTCCATATTGGGACCTTTGTTATTCACATGCTACATAAAAGACATGCCAAAATTACATAATAATTATAGCTTATGTCTTTATGCTGATGACGCCAATCTTCAAATAAATGGGCACTCTATTGAGGAGGTTGAGTTGTCATCATTTTCAAACCTGGCTCTTTTAAATCAGTTTTTCCAAAATAATAGTTTAGTACTAAACTCTGCTAAAACAAATTTCATTGAATTCAAAACTTATCAAAATAATAAAAATATGCTGTCACCTACCATCATTCTAAATGAAACTGAATTAGAGAAGGTGTATGAATCTAAATTTTTAGGATTAACTATAGACAGCAACTTGTCTTGGAACAGCCATGTCAATAATCTAGTTTCTAAATTAAACTCTGGGGTATATGCACTAAGGAGGCTCTCAAAAATTTGTTCAACAGAGACTCTGAAAATAGTGTATTTCGCCTATATTCATTCAAATATCGCCTTTGGTCTTTCATTATATGGGGCAACTTCCATTCAAAATTTGAACAAAATACTAAAAATTCAGGAACAATCCATTCAGATTATATTAAAATTAAATTATAATGAATCGGTAAAACTCTTTTTTTCTAAAATTGGTATCATGACTGTATATGCAATGTACATTTATGAAACTATAATTTCTGTGAAAAACCGTCAGGACCAACTTCATTTTGTTGGAGATACTCATAATAAAATATACAAGATTCAGGAATAGAATTGGCATTGACAACCATAAACTTGGATTTTATGAAAAAAAGCCAATGTATATGGGGTCAAAATTTTATAATATGTTACCAAAAGCCATTAAATCTGAGAAAAATATTAATTAATTCAAAAATCAACTAAAAAAATATCTTATTGATTTAACATTATATTCTTTCTCCGAATTCCCATGTAAAAATGATGTGTAAAGAAAGTTTTTAGTTCTGTTTTTCTTTTCATGCATATAACTATATCTTTTGTTTTTGACAGCCTTAGTATTAACCAATCTTAGTTATAATGTATCTTAGTATTCATTGATATTGACACCATTCTATGTACAGAGTACTAATATGGAATAAAGATTTTATTGATTGATTGATTGATTGAGAGGAGGCTGGTGTGGGCTGCCAAGCACCCTAACTCTGCTGCCTGCAAAGCCAGTTCCTCCGGGAACTAGGATGCTGGGAAAAAGCAGGGCAAGGGTGGTACCCCCAAAGCTGACTCTACTGAAGCCTCCAGGAAGAAAGGTGGAGGTTGTGCTGACGCAGCCACAAAGGATTGGCTGGTCAAGCAAGTTCAGGAGCTGAGTCCTTTCGGGGAAATCTCGCTACGGCTTGCCCCAGCCAGAGACCTTGTGAAAGCTGTGAAGGTATATTTATGTGCCCAGCCCTACAAGGTCTGCGTATGACATCCCTTGGCCTATTGATGGGAGATCAAAGGGAAAAACAGGTCACCATAGTCAAAAGGCTCTCACGGTTCACCAAAGACCTGGGATTTGACGGAGAATGAGGATCTGTGAACGAGGGTGCACAATAAGCTGTTCTAGCTGCGATGCAATCCCATGGTAACTTGTAAGCCTGGCCCTCTATTAAAAAAAAAAAAAAAAAAAAATCTGGAGTGTCGGGAAGTTCTATCAACAAGAAGGAGGCGTGGGACTCATACGGAACGTTTCAAACTATTTTAAAGTTGTAACGAGGTTAATTGGTGAAAATACGTTTAAACTTTTGCAAGATTTTGTACACCGGATAAACCGTCTGCTAAATCGTACAGTGAGCTAGTAAAGTTGATTAAAGATCATTTATACCCAACTCCGTCTTTCATCACGGAACGGTATCGTTTCAGGTTGAGAAACAAATAAGAGAACTTGAGTGTTTTGCAGTATATCGTGCATTTAGAGCATTTGCCTACACATTGTGATCTTGGCAATGAGTACTTAGTGACAACAATATCACAATACAGTAGACTCCCTCTTATCCGGACTGCTCGGGACCGAGGCCAGTCCGGTTAATGGGTTTTCCGGTTAAACCGACGTCTCCAAAAACTCGTTAAAACTGACTGTTTACTGTGATATTCGACTTAAATTTAGGAGAGCATTGTATTTAGACATGTGATCACTGCTCTCAAATCTTTCCCACGAGAATAGTCGTTTCATTACTGCCCACTTCCTGCCGATCTAGTCCGGTTAAACCAATGTGCTGATAAAAATTGTCCGGTTAAAGAGATATCATTTCCGCCAAGTGTTGTCCGGTTCAAACCGATGTCCGGTTAAAAGGTGTCCGGATAAGAGGGAGTCTACTGTAGTAGTAGAATTATACCCCCAAAACTAGATTTTTTTCCTATAATTTGCTTTTTTTTTGAAAATAGTTAATTTACAAATTAACAACAAATACTTTTTGAATGAAAAAACATTCTGAAAATACATAAATAATTCATTAAATAAATGTCCATGTTGTAATACAATTTTATGAAATTCTGACATTTTAGTTTTAATTTTTGAGTTTTTAAAGTAATAAGATGGATTTTAAAACCTTCCGACTGTCAAAATTTCATAGCGAATTTTATGGACTAAATAATGTTGGATTTAATAGGAATACACAGAATAAAACAGAGAATATTTGTTATATCCTGTGTTTTTTTTAAGTATATTGATAAGTGGTCTAATTACTATTCTGTAGAGCTCCAAACTAGAGAGTCAAATCCTTTTCACCTGACAGGAAACCAGATGTTATATTTAAGTTGGAATAAATCTAAAATGTTTATATTTTAGTGGAAATCTAATAAGGCAAATGGAAATACCCATAGTCAACAGGTTTCCAGCGGCGGGGATATTTTTATCATCTCATATAAAATTAAAATTAATCACAAGTTTAATTAATTAATATGTTAATTTGTTAATTAACTAAGCTTAGGGAAAACACCTTTAGAACCATGTCTGGGCAGACACCTGTATCAGGCGGGGCTTATAGAAATGATGCTGCATTCTTAAAATACCTCAAGTTAGTCGAATCATAAGCAAGTGTGCAGAAGCCCACAATTTTGCTGACACACTAAGGGACAAAGTCCGCCTATTCAGAATCAAATTTCATTACTCTCATTTGTAACCCTCCATATACTTTTGTTACTCTACATCACTTCATACAAAATTATAATAATTGCACGTACCCTCAATCATCAAAAATGTTTACTAAGTAGTTATCAATATCTTCATCTGAAGATTGCATATCTCGATCGTAGAGAGGAGAATCAACATTCAAGTCAGCAAACCCCCGATCAGATGAACTCCTCATGTTCACTTCATCACTCTGTAAATTGCAGAAAAACTTTTGAATTACATAAATTAAATTATTTCTAACACTGATTGCAACTGTGACGATGGTGACATTCATGAGGCAGCCCTGTTGGTTGGAGGAATATGTACCACCCAACTAAGATTCTCTATGCCATTGGGATAAGTTTAAGAACTAAATAAATGTCACAAATTTTGATAGAAAAATCTATTTCTAGTAACATTTTTTTAGTTAAAGTAATGTGAAACTTAAGAATCTCAAGAATAGCTACATAAAATATACACAACCAATTAAAAATATTTACCATCTAATGTGAGTTACATATGTATAGAGCAAAATACACGTTATCAGCAATCTGACATATATGTTCTCCCATTAGCATGTCAATAAATTTATCATGGGGGGGGAGTAACATAATGATATTTTATGGAAAAATCAGATAAGTTGCAACCTTTGAACCCTAATTTTTACAGAAATGAGGGTTTGTAGTTGTAGGCCCTACTGTTTTGTTCAGAATACCAAGGGCTATGCCTATGTTATTGTCCATGTTATTGTCTATGTTATTGTCCTACATATTAGCAAACTTATGTAGGCTATGCTTAAGAAAAATAAACATCCACTAAGCAAATATCAGTTAGATCATTATGTTTCACTCAAACATATTAATAAATAGAAATATTTTCATAGATCCAATCCCAATTTAAATTACATTACAGTAGAACCCCGGTTAACCGAAATAAAGGGGGGAGAGCCGTTTCGGATAACACATTTTCAGTTAACCCATCATATGCTAAAATAGCCAATGTATCACCACAGTGTGTGTAGGAAAAATGAATTTAAGAGAATGTCTATATAATTCAGTATTTTATTTCAGCTACCTACAAACATTTTACAATGGGATAGAAAATACTTTAAACCAGACAACTGAAGTTATTGAAGCATTTTACAGCCCTATATTATTTTTTAGAGCCATTTCGGTTAACCCGAGTTTCGGTTAACAGGGGTTCGTTCTACTATATCTCAATCAACTGGGGTTTACTGCTACAATTAACACAAAATTTTTTTTTATATAATTTTTTAAAGACCATCTATGATTAAACAATTATCAATCCGGTTTAAATAGGCCTATACTTTAATTAGGTTAATTTATTCTCTGTACAGATACCGTTGGAGATAGCATACTATGTTTGGGACTTTTAATATTACGGTAACAAATAGAGGTAAAATAAAAATGTATTGCATTAAATAATATTATTTTTTAAAGACAATAGTTGATTATACTTGTGGAAAACTATTTTGACAGTTAAAACTCGTTATGTACTTGAGTACTTGTACATGTACTCGTTGTGTACTTCCCTTTCCATGGCTCTATCAGGCTGGTTCACAAAATTACAATAAAAATGGTTGGTTAACAAGTTGGTTATTAATTTCATCAAAATCAGAGGATTAGTAAAAAGAGCTATCACACTAATTTTGAACAGTTTTTCGTCTACTGGGGACCATAAAATGGTAATGTGCAATTAATTGGTCTTCTTGTTAATTTAGTATACCCTTACATGTACATGTACCGTAGGTACTACTTTCATATTACGAAACTTACTACAGTGTACTTACAAAAGATGGAAATGGAGAAGCAGCATTCATGGAACTTGGGTGTCCCGATGTGAGTTCATCAGGGATGCTTCCATCTCGTAGATTATAATCATATTGTGGGGAAGTATTCATTTGCAGTAATCTTGATGTTTTATCACCTTTTGGGTTCTTCATACTAAATTTTTCAGACCCATCGTAAGGTTCAGCAAAATCATCTGAAGAAATAACATTACCACCCAAAAATTCACTTGTTTCACTTGAGGGACTATTCAGCAGATCAGTTCTTAGAAATTTTGAAGAGCTTTTATATTCTGAATCATCAGATGTGTAATCAAGACTGTCAAGTAATCTACGTTTAAGTCGTTTGGATGAGTTCAAACTATTACTTCCAATTGAGCTGAAAGGAGACAAATTTCCATTTGTACACTCAATAGAATCCCTTAAATTTTGTAATGATTCTTCATCTGAAGACACAATCGACTCATTGATTTCATTGAACTGCTTGTCTGAATCCTGAGATTCTCCAAAATCTAAGGATTTAACAGATTCAGGAGGGGAATCTGTTAAAAGGGACATAAATTTATTTTGGACATCATTCATATTTCTTTCAGTAAACACCACAGGTATAATTGATGTTGTTGAATAACTGATTACATTTTTCTTCAACTTTGATTCACCTTGGGCTTCACTATTTTGCAGAACGTTTCTTGGTCTTTCCTTGGTGCCATTATCAATACCAAATGTTTCACGTTTATTTTCAACTCTCTTAGCATATCTTTCAGTAAACACCACAGGTATAGTCGATGTTGTTGAATAACTGATTACATTTTTCTTAAACTTTGATTCACCCAGGGCTTCACTATTTTGCAGAATGTTTCTTGGTCTTTCCTTGGTGCTATTATCAATACCAAATGTTTCACATTTATTTTCAACTCTCTTAGCATATCTTTCAGTAAATACCACAGGTATAGTTGATGTTGTTGTATAACTTATACAATTTTTCTTCAACATTGATTCACTTTGAGCTTCAATTTTTGATTGTGGGTTGTATGTTAGTGTTTTCTGGGTGCTACTACCAATCTCAAATGTTTTAGGTTTCTTACCATGTCCCTTCATATTTTTTTCAGCAAACACCACTGGTATAGATGAAGTTGTTGTATAACTAATCACCTTTTTCTCCAACTTTGGTCCATGAAGAGTTTCAGTTTTTTGCAGAATGTCTATTGGTCTTCTCTCGGTGTTTCTGTCAATCTCAAATGTTTTAGATTTCTTACCATGTTCCATCATATTTATTTCAGTAAACTCCACTGGTATACTTGATGTTGTTGTATAGTTGATGACATTTTTCTTAAACTGTGGTTCATCAGTTTTTTGCAGAATGTTTCTTGGTCTTCTCTGTGTGTTACTATCAATCTCAAATGTTTTAGATTTCTTATCATCTTCCATCATATTTATTTCAGTAAACTCCACTGGTATACTTGATGTTGTTGTATAACTGATCACATTTTTCTTAAACTGTGGTTCTTGTAGAGCTTCAGTTTTTTGCAGATTGTCTATTGGTCTTCTCTGTGTGTTACTATCAATCTCAAATGTTTTAGATTTCCCATCATCTTCCGTCATATTTATTTCGATAAACTCTACTGGTATACTTGATGTTGTTGTATAACTGATCACATTTTTCTTCAACTTTGGTTCTTGGAGATCTTCAGTCTTTTGCAGATTGTCTATTGGTCCACTCTGTGTGTTACTATCAATCTCAAATGTTTTAGATTTCTTATCATCTTCCGTCATATTTATTTCGATAAACTCTACTGGTATACTTGATGTTGTTGTATAACTGATCACATTTTTCTTCAACTTTGGTTCTTGGAGATCTTTAGTCTTTTGCAGATTGTCTATTGGTCCACTCTGTGTGTTACTATCAATCTCAAATGTTTTAGATTTCTTATCATCTTCCATCACATTTATTTCAGTAAACTCCACTGGTATACTTGATGTTGTTGTATAACTGATCACATTTTTCTTCAACTTTGGTTCTTGTAGAGCTTCAGTTTTTTGCAGATTGTCTATTGGTCCACTCTGTGTGTTACTATCAATCTCAAATGTTTTAGATTTCTTATCATCTTCCGTCATATTTATTTCGATAAACTCTACTGGTATACTTGATGTTGTTGTATAACTGATCACATTTTTCTTCAACTTTGGTTCTTGGAGATCTTCAGTCTTTTGCAGATTGTCTATTGGTCCACTCTGTGTGTTACTATCAATCTCAAATGTTTTAGATTTCTTATCATCTTCCATCACATTTATTTCAGTAAACTCCACTGGTATACTTGATGTTGTTGTATAACTGATCACATTTTTCTTCAACTTTGGTTCTTGTAGAGCTTCAGTTTTTTGCAGATTGTCTATTGGTCCACTCTGTGTGTTACTATAAATCCCAAATGTTTTAGATTTCTTATCATCTTCCATCATATTTATTTCAGTAAACTCCACTGGTATACTTGATGTTGCTGTATAGCTGATCACATTTTTCTTCAACCTTGGTTTTTGTAGAGTTTTAGTTTTTTGCAGATTGTCTATTGGTCTTCTCTGTGTCTTACTATAAATCTCAAATGTTTTAGATTTTTTATCATCTTCCATCACATTTATTTCAGTAAACTCCACTGGTATACTTGATGTTGTTGTATAACTGATCACATTTTTCTTCAACCTTGGTTTTTGTAGAGCTTCAGTTTTTTGCAGATTGTCTATTGGTCCACTCTGTGTGTTACTATCAATCTCAAATGTTTTAGATTTCTTATCATCTTCCATCATATTTATTTCAGTAAACTCCACTGGTATACTTGATGTTGCTGTATAGCTGATCACATTTTTCTTCAACCTTGGTTTTTGTAGAGTTTTGGTTTTTTGCAGATTGTCTATTGGTCTTCTCTGTGTCTTACTATCAATCTCAAATGTTTTAGATTTCTTATCATCTTCCATCATATTTATTTCAGTAAACTCCACTGGTATACTTGATGTTGTTGTATAACTGATCACATTTTTCTTCAACTTTGGTTCTTGTAGAGCTTCAGTTTTTTGCAGATTGTCTATTGGTCTACTCTGTGTGTTACTATCAATCTCAAATGTTTTAGATTTCTTATCATCTTCCATCATATTTATTTCAGTAAACTCCACTGGTATACTTGATGTTGCTGTATAACTGATCACATTTTTCTTCAACCTTGGTCTTCTCTGTGTGTTACTATCAATCTCAAATGTTTTAGATTTCTTATCATCTTCCATCATATTTATTTCAGTAAACTCTACAGGCACAGTTGATGTTGTTGTATAACTGATCAAATTTTTCTTCAACGTTGGTACAGGTAGAGCTTCAGTTTTTTGTAGAATGTCTTTTGGTCTTATCTGGGTGTTGCCACCAGTTCCTAATGTTTTAAATTTCTTTTCATTTCCTATCATATTTCTTTCAGTAAATACCACAGGTATAGATGAAGTTGTTGTATAATTGATCAAATTTTTCTTTAATTTTGATTCACCTTGAGCTTCTATTCTCTGTTGTGGTGTGTCTGTTAGGCTTTTCTGGATGCTACTATTCATATCAAAATTGTGGTGTATATTTTCTTTGTCTTCTTCTGTATTAGCTAGAATGTCATTAGAAATATTTAAGGTTGGAAATGATTTGTAAACAACTTGATCATTACGTCTCTTCCCATTTCCATTCACACCCTCTGAGAGTTTTGAATAATCAGTTCTCCTTTTCACATGAATTGGATTTTTAGTTGATAAAACTTTATCAGGAAATTGTTGATCAATTTCAATCCCAAACGGTTTTAACACACCAGTAACTTTAATGTTATCATTATCTATGTTGTGCAATTCTTTCAGAGGTGATCTGTTTGTGGTAAAAAGTACTGGTCTACTTGCATCAGTGCCGTAGACACTGTCAAGTGACATTGGTTTAATTTGAGATGAAATCAACTTAGGTTCTCCAATTACATTTACATTATGGGTAACACTTTCAATACTTTGGTGATTATGAGGAGGTATACTTCTAGCTGTGAACCTAATATGTCCAGAAGATTTTTTAAGTCTCAAGGACCTTTCTTCTTTTCTTATCTGATTGGTATGTGAATCTAAAGTGAAGTTTATTATTTTATCTTCTTCAGCCAGAGATAAAACACTGATAGAACTCATGGCAGAGGTCTCATTTAGTCTACTGTCATTATCGAAATTCTCGTGTGTTACAGGCTGATTTATTGAAGTTTGTGATTGACCGTTGAGAGGTTTGTTCTTGGTGATATGAATTGCACTACTAGTAAACCATCTTGTCCTTTTGTTTACGCAATCATTTACACTTCTAGCATTTTCATGTTCCTTATCCATAGCTTGCTGATTGGAAGTTTGTGATTGATTAAATTTAGTATTGGGGATTTCTCTTTTGGACAGAGAAATTTTATTCAGAGAGTAAAGCTTTGTGTTCCGTTTTGAAACGCTACACATTAGAGGATTTTCATTCATCCTTTTATTGGTATCTACCTGCATTTCTTTATCAGGATGATTCATTAGTGGTTGTGGAATTTTTGCTGTAAGGTATACATTTTTAGGTGATGTTTTAGCTCCTATTTCATCATTTATTAGTTTATTAGTATCATTGTTTTTTATTTTCAGAACCGATATATTTTCAGAGGAACTTATCTCCTGTACGACAGGATTATCGCTGATGTTAAGGTTTTCAAAGCATTCTAAAGTTGCTAAATCTTGTTTTTGAGAGGGCGATTCCCCTATAAAATCACTGTCTTTGACAATACCTTGTTTTTCTTGAAGATTAATCCTGATTGATTTTAGACTCAAAGTTTTTTCCTTGAATTGTGTCTTGTTTTTTATTTCATTAATGTTACTGTTACTAATCTGACAGGAATCATAGTCACTAGATCCTAGTTCCTGAGGTAAGATCCTTGAAGTAGTTAATATGATATTACTTTTATTTTCACCAATTGGATTTGTAATATTTGATAGGCTAATTGAGTTTTTAGCACTTTGTGTAGTCTTCAAGTAGGCAGATGAAGTTGGTGTCAAAGGAATAACAATGCAATTTCCATCTTGCGCCTGATTTAAGTTTTCAGATATCAAATTAACGTCTTTGATTTCTTTTTTTTTATCTGTGGCCTCAAGAGATGTTTTGCTATTTAATGTTCTGTTTTTTATATTGTGGAATCGATTGAAGTTAACAATTACTGATGGTTTGTCTGCCATGTTTGGCATACTGTTAATATCTTTATTTGTACGTAACTGTATTTCAACTTGAGAACTAGATAGTAATTTCAAGTTATCGTTACTAGCTGAATTGATATGTTCACTTGTCTCACTTTGTTTCCTGGTTTTGCCTGAAGTTTCATATTCTGATGTATCGTTAATTTTCCCAGTGCTTTTGTATTCAACTTCAGTACTGGGTTCATTGTTGGTTATTTTTATAGGGCATTTTGTAGTAAAATATTTAGTCCCTTTTTTAACACTATCAGCTTTAACTTGAACTCTTATCGATTTACCAAGCTGTTTTGTGTTTGGACTAAGGTTTTGTTTTTGCTGGTCTGTTACTTCACTTTGGGAGTTTGGGAGTTTGTAAGTTGGCTCTTCCATGTTATCATCCTCTTTAAGATAATTCCCCTCTTCAGCAGTGGTTGATATTTCCTTTTCTTTTGATAGCATATCAGTTTCATTAGGTGACGGAAGGATTGTGCACGGTATGGAATGATTTTCAAACTGGGTTCTATTATTCATTTCATCTTGATCAATATTTGTGGATGCACAAACACTTGGCAAACTCACCGAGCTTGATTTTGAAGGCGATGTCTGTTTAACTCTTTGAGGTGAATTGTGCTCATTTTCAACAGAATAACTACCTGGCAAGATTTCTTCATTTTCTGCTTGTGAATTGGGAAACAAATTTGATTTTCGCTCATCATGTAGCAAAATGGAGGAAGCAGGTACATTTTGAGAGCAAATATAAAATTCATCATTTTGAGAAAGTGTTATATTGGTTTCATTTGTTCTTTCAATAACATTTTCTCCTGTAGCATCATCTGGTTGATTTCCTGACTCTGATTTTGTTGAAAGTACTTTCAAAGTTTTGTTGCATAAAGACGGATCTAAGTGTGATTCTCCATCCTTACCTTCACTTTCTTTTCTGGCAAAGCTTTGCGACTCTGAAGGGTCATTTGAGGAATTTTCAAGTAACAATCCTTCAGGGAATAGTGCTTTACAAAGTTTACTTCCTGATGTTTGATTCGTGGTTGCTTGAAACATGACCAAAGGTGACTTA